GAGCCTGGACTAGAGGGAAGGCGAAATGAGGCCTGATTGCCATCCTGTCCTGGAAACTGTGGATACAATGTTCATGTCCACCCCCGCCCCCCAACCTGCCCCCTGCAGCCCATGGGAGTTTGCAGAGCTCAGCGGGCAGCCTCCCCCTTCCTTCCAAGGAACACTGAAGGAACACAGTGTAAAAGCCAGTTCTTGTTCCTTTTTTGTTTCAATTTGTGGGCTAGGGGCAAGGCAGGGCAGTTGGATCAATGGAGCTGGGATGACAGCCCCAAGGTGCTCGGCTTTTCCTGCACAGTCACTGGGTGTGCCTAGAGTCAGGAATGACCTGAGGGTCTGAGTGAGCCTGGCCAGGAGACAGACAGCAGCAACTGCCCTTCTCTTCCTCTCTGCCACTTCCTCCCCTGTGCGGTCCATCCTCTGTCCCTCCCTCCCTTTTTCACTCTTGCCCTGACAATAGGAGCAACAGCCTGGAGCAGGGGGTACTGCCTAGCAATGCCTTTCCTGGGTCCAAAATGCAGAGTCAGCCAAAAGACCATTACACGGGGTTTTGAATGAAAATGGGGCCCCCACCTTTTATCTCCCAGCATGGATAATACACAGGCTTCCACTGGGCAGGATCCCAGCCTGGGCAGGAGGAGGGGACTCAGGGAAGGAAGCCTCTCTTCCTCTTAGGTGGGTCAGGGCCTGAGGCATTGTTTCCGCCCAGCCCTGTTAGGGGATGTGGGGCAGGGCTAGTGCAGGCTCTGACTGACCTATGGGAGGTAGGGAAGTGGTTCCCTTCTCCAAATCACTTCTGAGCAACTCCTTCCTCCTCCTCACTCTCCATGGAATAGGGACACAGCCTGGAGGCCACTCTGCCCTGGCTAGGTCCAATTAGAGGCCCTTCCCTCCCCGTTTTGACTTCTGGGTTGCTGGAAACTTCAGCCAGCCCACAGACCAAGGCTCCCTATAGGCAGAAATCTTAAAAAGACAGTTCCTGGGAGGCTTTGGACAGGTCACTCAACCACTCTGATTCTGTTTCCTTCTTTGAAACAAGACTTCTAGTCCATCCCTGGCTGGGCGGGTTGCAATTAGTCCACGATGACCCACTTGCCCCAAGTTCCAAGTACCCTGCAAGGGCAGTGACCTGCCGGGGGTGGGATGGAGCTGTGCCTTGTCTTAGGGGATGGCCACCCTGTACTGGAACCTGATGTCTGTCTGGTACCAGGCCTCATGATTTCCTGTTTGCTGTCCACTCCAGATGGGTTGGGGACAATAGGAAGTAGTACAAGTGGGGCCAGTTCAAGCCACACCTGCTAGTGGCCTGCTGAGTGCAACGCCTGGGAGAAGAAGCTGGGGCTGAGGCTGAACAGGATGGCCGAGGCCCGCAGACAGCTGCCACCACAGGCCTCACCCGCAGCTGCTGGCCAGAGCCTTCCTCTTTTCCCTCTTCTCCCACAGCCCTGGGACACAGTGTTCTGCATGACCTGCTCCACGACCTTGCTGTTGCCCAGCAAAGCTTCTCACCCCAACTTTTCTTCTTTCGCTCTAGAAATCCTATCCATTCCTGCAGGGAACATCTTGAATGCCGCCTCTTCCCAGAAACCTTCACAGATGTTCCCGCTTCCTTGCCACATGCTCCCTCCCTCCTTTGAATGCCTATGGGTCCATTTCCCCCCCCCCTGAAGAAACTCATCTATCACGAAGTCTCTTCTCTCCTGTCCCTGCTGTGAGCAGGAGAGATCTTTCCCTGACCGTGAGGTCTTGGATAGCCAGGACAGCCTCAGGTCCCTCAGTACCTTGCCGCTGTGGGCACAAAGCCTAGCATCTAACTGTCCAGGAGCTACATCATTTCTTAAGCACTGCGCCCTCTTCCCTGGCAAGACCTGCAGACCTTTCCTAGACCCCTGCACTCACAGCAGGCCTGACTGCACTGCTGCAGAGCTCCATACCTACCTGGCCGACAGCCCAGTGGACTCCTCTACTCTGCAGGCTCAGGAACTTCCTGTTGCCTAAGCCACACACCAATGTCCTCTTTGCTACCTCCTTTCCGGTTCACACATTGATTCTAACTTTAACATATCTAGTAATTTGGGGCTAGTAGGTGGTGTGGTGGTGAAGGCACTGGACTTCCACATGGCAGGCTGCAGTTCCAGTTCTGGACTTGGTAGCTTGAAATTCACACCAGGCACGCGTGCATGTGTGCCCAAAATCCCAGGTGGAGAATGGAAAAAGGACTGCAATGTGCCTACACCCCCTCACCCCCCAGGGAGCAATTCCTCTCTTTCCCTCCCACTGTCTCTTTCCAGTGAGCACACATGCCCTATGGCAAAAACCTGGGGAAAAAAAGAGCCTCCTTACAGGGGCCAGCATGTGGCATAGTGGTCATGCTGCTGGACTGCCACATGGCTGACCGTGGGTAAAGTCCTGGACCCGGTGGCTTGAAAATCACACTGGGCACAGTCCAAGATCCTGAGAGAATAGAGGAGAAGGGATTTTGCAGTGGCTATTTCCCCTTGGGGCTGATTTCTCACTTTCCCTCTCACTGTCTGTCTCTCCACGCCCAGTGCATGTGCCCTAAGGCAGAAACCTAAAAAAAAATAAATAAAAAAGAGCCTCCTTATGTTTCCTAGGCTCAGCCACCCTGTCTGCTGCTGGACTAGCAGCTTCTAACTAGTCTCCCTTGCCCTGCTACAATCCATTCTTCACACAGCTGCTGGAAAGATCTTTTTACACCATAAATCAGATCTTACCTCTCCCCTGCTTCCAACTTTTCTGTGGCTTCTTGCATTTAGGATAAAATCCCAAAGCCTTCTTGAGGCCTGCAAGCCTACCTAGTTTGGCTCTAAGACCACATCTCCAGCCTGGTCTTACGTATCTTTTCCTCCTGAATTTTATGCTATCCATTCTAGTATTCTGCACTTCCTTGAATGAACTCACCAGTTTCTGTAACCCCAGGATCTTTGCACAGGTTCTCTGTTTTACTGCAGCTGCACTTCTTCCTATTCTCTGACTCACTCTTTCTTTAGGTCTCTGCTTTGAGTTCTCCTCTAACCTAAATTAGATACATGATTTTTTTGTTTCTTGTCCATGCACAAGAAAGAAAAAGAAAATACCCCCCACAGTCCTTTTTCTTGATTCTCCAGCCCGGGCATGCATGCTCATGCCTGGTGTGTAAGCCCCTGGGGCTGGGACTCAAACTCTGCTTGGCTACATGGGATCGACCTTCTGTTCCAGTGCTTAACCCCTGCACTACAGGGCTGGCCCTGCATTGGTTCTCCTTCACAGCATGCTGTCAAAATCTCACTCATTTTAGTTTAGAAAAAAAATTTTTGAGAGAATTTTGCTATAGGGCACGTGCGCTCTCTAGAAAGAGACAGAGAGACCGAAAGCGAGAAATCACCCCCGATGCTGCAATCCCTTCTCCATTTTCCTCTCGGGATCTTGGGCATGCACATGTGTCCAGTGTGAGTTTAAGCCACCAGGTCTAGGACTTGAACCATGGTTGGCTACATGGGAGTCCAGTGACATAGCCATTATGCCAACTGCTGGTCCCAATTTTTAAAAATTATTTTAACTTTATTTTATTTATTTTAATTTGATCAGAGGTACAGAGTAAGAGAAAGAGAAAGTGAGAAAGCAAGCCACCAGATCTGGGACTCGAACTGTGGTCAGCCATGTTGGAGTCTAGCGCTCTTAACCACCATGCCACCTGCTGGCCCCTAGTTTCCAAATTTTTATATGTGTTTCTCAGTAAAGTCTCCAAGGGTGGACTTACTAGAGTATCCACATAGAGGATGGACAGAAAAGATTATTTTTCTTGAATTGGCCTGGCCTGCTGTGAACATAGGCTTTGGTGGCAAAGTTCACAACTCTCGCTCTCCTTTACACTGTAAAGTGATCTTGGACAACTCACCTATCCTTGCTGAGACGTCAGTTTATTTGTAAAACTTACCCCTTTGTGGAAATGGCAATACATGTAAAGAGACTGGCTTCTAGAAGTCTTTCGTAGGCTTGCATGCAAATTCCCATCCCGTCTTTACGACTACACCCCCCTCCAGGGTATCCCCTCTTCGTAGGGACCTACTCAACTCAAGGCTTTCCTCCAATAAACCAGCCACCCCGAGGGCTTCCGAGAGGAAGTGGTCAGCTGGAAGGCACCAGCCTTTTATCTCCCTGCCTGCCTCCCTCCCCCACGCTGGTTCCTTAGCTGGGAGACACCCTGGGCGGGGCTTCGCTCGCCGGAAGCACGCAGAGCGTGGGGAGGAGAGGCCCCTCGGCTTGTGTTTGTGCCAACAGCGCCCGCGCTGCCGCGTCAGGTTCCGGCGGGCGGGCGGGCGACCGGAGTCTCTCATGATGTCACAGACAATGACACAAGCCGGGTGTCTCATTCCGACACAGCGCCCTAGCTGCACAATGTCACACCCGGGACACCCGGCCCGCCGCATTCGTGGCACTAAACACACGCCCCCGCTCTGCGCCTCCTGCGGCCGCGCCCCGCCTCTTCGGGGGGCGCGGGGGGGGGGCCGGGCGGGCGAGCCCCGCAGGCGGGCTGGCGAGCGGGTGATGTCACGGGCAGCGGTGGGTGGGTCACTTGGAGGTGAGGCGCCGCCAGGCGAGTTCAGCGAGAGTTCAGCCGCATTGCATTAGGCAAATGAGGCCGAGGCTGGACGGGGTGTGTGTTAGGGGTAGGACACTGGGACCACCCCATCCCCGCCGCGGCTTAGCCTGGCCGGGGACTGACCAAGCCTCGGGGGAGACGGGGAGTGGAACTGGGACGGGGGAATACGTCCGCCCCTCTTCCGTCCTGGCCTCGGCCCGCAACCCCTTCTCCCGCGTACCCGGCCTCCGTCGGCACCCTGCGCCCTCCTCCTCTGGTGCCTTTTCTCCTTCCTGGCCCTCTTTTCTCCTCCCCTCCGCAGGCTCCCCCTACTCGCCGGCTCACATGCCGCCTCTCCTTTTCAGGTCTCTGCGTTTCGCAAGCCGCTGCCAGGCCCCCGGGGGATAAAAACGGGCGTGGCGGAGGCGGAGCCGCGGGGTCCCCACCCCCACCCGGAATCCTCGCCCGCCCGGGAGAAGCCCGGGAGCCCCGGCGGGGAGGAGGAAGTGCTCGGGGACCGCCCCCAGCCTGCGGGACTTGGGGAGCAGCCGGACTCTACCGGAGTCTACCTCGGACACCATGAGGCTCGAGACCGAAGCCCCTTCGAGGTGAAGCCGCCGAGTTCCCGGCCTCCGCCGGGCGTTCCCGGGGAGAGCCGAGGGACCCCTCTGCCCAGCACACACAACTTGCCTGCTTTTCACCTGGGACTGGCGGAGCGGCAGGAGGACTTAGACGCAGGGACTTCAGGGCAGGGGGCGCCCCCTGCCCGGGTCGCCGGTCGGGGTGAGGGGACTTGCCCCTCGCCCCCAGCTGCTCTGCGTGCATGGCGCCGCCGGCTGAGTGAGGGTGGAGGACTTCCACGCCCCAGACCTCTTGTCTTCACCGGGGAAGATGTACGAGAGTGTGGAAGTAGGGGGGCTCACCCCCACCCCTAACCCCTTCTTAGTGGTGGATTTTTATAACCAGAACCGTGCCTGTTTGCTGCCGGAGAAGGGGCTCCCCGCTCCGGGCCCCTACTCCACCCCGCTCCGGACTCCGCTTTGGAATGGCTCAAACCACTGTACGTACCGGCCTCTCTCTGCTATTGTCGGAGTTGCGGGTGGGGTGGGCCGCGGGGTTCCACTGCTACCCCAGGGTGTGAGCCTGGGTCTTGGTGGGGGTCTTGTCCCTGCCCTTGAGCTCGGGTGCCCTGACTGGACAATTGGACACCTCCCCTTCACGCAGCCCTGGGGCTAGTTCCGTTATGTTAGGCCTGGGAACTTTGAGCGCTCCTCTTTGCCGGAAACGTTCTGCATCTATCTCTTCCATTCCACTTCATCCTGGGACAGCAAAGCCCAAGCCCCTCGCCCCTGGCCCCATCTGTGTCGTCTTACTTGGAACCCAATAGCTTGGCTGCAGGTTGGATGGAGGGTGGGGTAAAGGTCCTGTCTGTGGGCTAGTCTGCTCTCAGAAGGAGGGGTCTCCTCCCGGGGTCCCACTCCTACCAAAGCCTGGGGAGAGCCCTCTCCGTGTGACAGCTGCTGCCCCGGCGCTATTAGAGTGGGTGTCGAGATCACTGGGTGTCTTTGGTGTTGACAGTGGGGTGTGGCAGAAGGGGTAACCGAAGCAGACACCCATCTGCCATTCTAACCAACCCTTACATCGTGAGGAGGGGCACCCCGTCCATGTGGGAGTTGTCCTGGCCCCAGACACTCGGTTGGCATCTTTGTGATGCCTGTTCCTGGGAATGGAGGGGAGAAGCTGGTCTGGTTGGAAGAATCCTTCTCCATAATCCTAAGCCGACTTGTTCTCTGGGGATGAGTTTGTTTGTTGTGAGTTGGGGGCTGCCCTGGAAATGAGGAATACATCGCCTCCCAGCTTGGCCGAGTCCTTTTGTTACCCTGTCTTCACTTGGGAATAGAGCCAGGCCGCGGGCTGTCCCTCTAAGAGGGGTGCTGATGAGAATCCTGGCAGCCCGGCCACCCTCTCTTCTGCCCCTGCCTGGTCTCAGGCTCCTCTGGGAGGGAGAAACCCTGTGCACACTTGGGCTGGGAGCTCCCGGGGTGCACACCTGGGTGTGTTCGTGCCCAGCTGTGAGGTCGTGTAGTCTGGTGGGCCAGAGCAGGCACCAGGGGTTATTGTTAGATGACTCGGGTTTCT